TTTTTTTTTAAACTATAGCCCGCCCCTCCAACGGTCTGAGGGACAGTGAACTGGCCCCCTGTTTTAAAAGTTTGAGGACCCCTGCCCTAGATGTTTGACCATTGATGCTCTGTTTGGTAATATGCAGACAATGATGTGGATGTAGAAACAGAATCTACTCGAACTAGACTTCTTAAAACTAGTCTGAAATGATGTTAATTTCTAAACGAGGGAAGTGACATGGGAAGTGGCAAGAAGATATAATAGAGCAGTTTCTTCTCCGAGTCTTTTATTCTCCTTTGGGGACGCTTCTAGCCTGACATAACCCAGTGGCTTGGAGAAAGGCTCAGCGTCTTCATTATGCCTTTCTCCAGTCCCCAGGCCTTGTGGAGGTTTTACATCGTTCTGATCCTCAGGTGCTTCCTACTGTTAAACGATACAAATGGAAACTCTTTCTCTGTTTTCAGGTGAAACCAGTGGGAACGAAAGTGATGCCGAGTATCTGCCAAAGAGTGAGTGAGTCAATGGGACTGCTTCTGTTCCTGGGATGGTCATGGTCACAGGCACCTGTCTCTGTGATTAAGCATGTTTTTTCCCACATGAAGCTGTACTTTGTGGACAGTTTCTTTATTTTCAGAGTCTGTTGAGGTTTGGGGAATTAAGCAGCAGACTGTTCGATGTTTCACATTAAATGTCTCCCATAGTGGAGTGAGGCGAAACAGTAGGGTTCTTGAAATGGAATGTTCTTTGGGGAGTGGCGCAGAGCTGCGTGTCCAGACATATATGCAGGAGCTTCTCGGCAGCAGAACAGAGTATATGAATCATCCTGTGAGTCAAACGCTTAGCATTAAATATCTGATTTTTCACAGTCATTTAAGTATAATCATTTAAGTAACTTTGATATCTCTGACATTGAGAAAGGAAACCTTTATCTGTTTCTTATTCAGAGATGTTTATATTTCAAGTTGTTGTGCTGTTTACTTTGTTAGAATATAGAGTATACCATGAATTTCTAGCTGTTTTTTCCAAGCACTTCATCGTGCCCTGTGTCCTTCAACTAGTGAATTGTCACAGCAGGTTATATAGTTCTTGGTTAACTGACTGACATACTAGGGCATGGAAGAAGTAGGAGAGATGAATTATCAAAGTTGAGTACAGGACACTTCCAAGACTGATACTCTGGTCTTATGATTAATAGTCTTGTGCTCCCTCCACTGGCCTGAATTGCTTCATGTGTTTGATTCTGTAGCCTGACTGAAGGTGAAACTTAAATCATCATCATCAGGTTCAGTCTAGATGTGTTCAGATGACTCATTTAGGGCTGTTGTGACTGAGAAACAGGACCTAGAATTTTATTGACTTGAACTCAGCCCTTGGGTGTAAGTAGAGCATTGCCTTGAGCACTAAGCGTACTGGATAATTCTGAGGAGCCATTCCTAAGTGTATTTTTTAAAGTGCTCTTAGTGGTTCAATCCGTCATGTAACTTCTTTTGGGGCAGTATGCATCATATCTCAGAAAGGATGAGTCTTTCTGTGGGTGGCTCAAAATGACACATAAGCAATTCTGGGACACTTAGACTATTTCTTCTGCAAGTACACTCTAGTGGCAACTACCCCAAATAGTTCAGAAGTTAGAGAGAAATGGGCATAGAGGATAGATGCTCTCCAGTTCTGCTCTGTTTAAATAGTATGCTTCCATAATTGTATTCATTGAGGAATAGTCTCTAATGAATATCTTCTTCCATTTCATTGTTCTCCTCTTGCATTTAGCACCATTTGCTGATATAAGCCTATATCAGTTATCGGTAATATATGCCAAGGAGAGAAGGAAGAAGGACAGTTTCTTTCATGTGAGGACAGTGTGTAAATTTTTCAGACTCATTCCTTTCCATACTTACCAGAAGGACTCAGCTCTTTCATTGGATCTCTGTCCCCTCTTGCCCCACTGATCTCATGGCATTCTCAGTAGTGGTATCTGTTGTCAATCCAGTGCTTTTTCCTGACATTTTCCATGTGTTCTGGTAAGATGCTATAAAGATAGGATAACATGGAATATGTCTTGGGACATACATAGTGTGTTGATTGGGACATGGGATGTTGGTCTCTTTGCTGGCAGGGGTGGAATGGAGCCCCTGGGCACTTATGTGGGTCTGCACTTATCCCCGACTATGTCATAGCCCTAACAGATAGGTCTGCGAGGCAGGTATTGGTTAGTCAACATTCATGCCGTAATGACTATGTGAAGATTAGTCCTGTGTGAGTCATGCCCTCTGGGCAGCAGAGGGAAGATAGGGGTGCAGAGAAAAGACATTGCTCCCGATTTTATTGCAGATCGCCATAAGCGCTTAGCACAACTGCAACAGTCTTCCAAGAGGAATCCTCACTACCAGACCTTGGAGCGAGATCTTATTGAACTACAGGAACAGCAGCTATTTGAACTCCTTGTGGTAGTGTCTCTACAAAAGAAACCATCCGGAATAAGCTATATTCCCCAGGTCATACAACAATTCCCTAGCAAGGTAGGTCCAAGGAGCTAAGAGGTTTTCAGGAATGATCCTGTGTCTCCATGTGAATTTATTTCTCATCATCTTGTGTATTATCATCTCAATCAGAATTCACCAGCACTGTAATTGTGTAGGATATGGTAAGTGACTTTGCTGACATTAGGCATAAGATGCAGGCAAGTGAAAAAAACAAAACAAAACAAGCTCATTCTCCAAGTTAGTTTTTCTTTTTTCTTTTTAGCCCTGCCATTTAATAATCTTTAACAAGTTGCAGCGCCGGGTATGGTGGCTAATGCCTATAATCCCAGCACTTTGGGAGACCGAGGCAAGAGGATTGCCTGAGCTCAGGGGTTCGAGACCAGCCTGGGCAACTTGGTGAGACCTCGTCTCTACAATAAATCAAAAAATTAACCAGGTGTGGTGGCATGCACCTGTGTTTCCAGTTACTTGGAAGGCTGAGGCAGAAGGATCACCTGAGCCCAGCAGGTTGAGGCTGCAGTGGCCATGAGTGTGCCACTGCACTCCAGCCTGGGTGACAGAGTGAGACTCCAACTCAAAAGTAAAATAAAATAAAAATAAAAATTTCCAGCAACGTGCAGTGGCTCATACCTGTAATCCCAACAATTTGGGAGGTGAAGGTGAGAGGATTGCCTGAGCCCACAGGTTCAAGACCAGCCTGGGCAATGTGGTGAGACCTTGTCTCTACAATAAATCAAAAAGTTAGCCGGATCTGGTGGCGTGTGCCTGTGGTTCCAGTTACTTGGAAGGCTGAGGTGACAGGATCGCCTGACCCCAGCAAGTCAAGGCTGTGGTGGCTGTGAGTGTGCCACTGCACTCCAGCCTGCACAATAGAATGAGACTTAGATTAAAAAAAAAAAAAAATCATAATTCTCATACGAATCTTCATTTCTGCCTTTTCCTGAGAAACTGGAAAGACTACCTACATTCCTAAGTGTCAGGAATCTGCGGAAGCTGAGTAAGGAGCAGGACTTCATGGCAGGTGACCAGTGTAGTCACTCAGAAGGGCCCCAGCGCTAAGGATTTATTGCTCTGCAATCACCATCTTTATCTTTGAATTTGCATTTTGTGAGTGAAATCTGATGAGATAACTGGGCGTGTGCCAAGGTCTTGCAGCCTCAGTTCCTGCATGGTGTCACCTCCTGCCGCCTCCCTGTGATGGGCTCTCTAGTTGACCTGTTCTCCACTGCCTGGTTCCCTGGGCTCTATGTAGCTTCCTTTCCATCCTCTACTCAGTGACTGCTGCCACCTTCTCTCCCTAACAGGGGCACAGGCACGGAGAGGGTTGGGAGCATGTAGGCATTGCCCTGCAGTGTCTCCAGGCAAGGCATAGGGCAGCCCTCCGTGTCCTAGGCTGGCAGTGCCACTTGTGGGTGGCTTGGTGGGGCAAGTCTTTCACCACCCCTACTCCAGCCATCAGGTACATACTGTGTGAAAGCTGCGACTCCTTGGGGGTTGCCTACTGCTGTGGGTTGAAACAGTGGCCCACCAGGAAAGGGAGATCCCTGGTCCAGCTTCCCAACCTGGAGTCAGAACACAGAGTCTCAGTTCTGCAGTTGCCCAAAGAGGAAACCCAGCAGCTGGTAGGCCACTTGAGCTCAGATTACAGACCAGTAATCTTCAACCCCCCGGGTAACTATGAGGGTCTGCACTTGTCCCCCAGGTCTCTCATGCCTGAGGGAGTATGAAACTAAATAACAAAAACTCTAATACAGATTAACAGATCACAGAAGAAAGGAAAAAGTTTTATATTTTATATTCAATTTTTTCTGCTTTTTGAGCAAAGGACTCCACATTATCATTTTGCAGTATATTCTGGGAATTATGTAACTTGCCCTGGTAAGGAGTGATCCCTTTACATAAGGGCATTTACTCACTTTCAGACTTATTACTTGGACCATTTCTTTCATTATCTGCTCAGCCACTTCAGGACTTTGGCTTTATAACACACAGCTACATGTTTCACTGAAAAGGCCAGTAAAGCACAAGTATTGGGAATCTAAGAGACACTTCCTACATGGATTCTCATTTTTAAAAAGTCTTCAACAACATTCGTACAGTAAATTAATCAATAAGTTTAATTTCTCATAAAATTCCTTAATGTAGCCTGAGAGAATAATGTCACAGCACTGTTTAGTAGAACAATACTGTAATAGTCTAAAATAATGTAATCTAGGTGGTCTTGAGTAATCAAATTTCCCATCAAGAGGAGCTTAATTTTTTTTCTTGGTTTTATAGTCTTATAATTGCAGAGGGAAATCTGAGCCTGAATTAATAGGCTCAGAACCAGATAAGGACCCATTTGACTCTGGCAGTGACTCACAAATGTCTACACATGCACTATTTGTACTTAGCATCTCTGTGCCTCAAGTACTCATAAATTAGAGTGAGAAAGAGCTGATTGAGCTCCTTATTGATTCTGTTTTTGAAAACCTTGAATGAAGATGATCGTGAATCTTTTAGCAATATAAAAATACTAGACTATGATACAACCAACATTTTGTTAGAATGCTTTTCCATTTTTTAAGAGGTAAATATCCAAGTGACCCAAAATGGCTACTCTTTTTTTTAAAAAAAGGAAATTAAAGGAGCTGGGCATAGTGGCATGTGTCTGTATAATGTCAACTACTTGGGAAGCTAAGGCAGGAGGATCACTGGAGCCTGGGATTTCAAGGCAAGCTTGGGCATCATAGCGAGACCCCATTCTCAAAAAAAGAAAAGAAAAGAAATGAAGGGATAGGTCATTTTTATTAGTTATCTGAGTGTAATATGGTAATTAGATTTATATTCTTGTTTTTATGGAGGATAGGTCATACTAATTTCTAAATGGTTTGTTTAAGTTTAGCCTATTTTGATATTTTGAAAATATAATAGCAGACTTACGCAAGAGGGTCTTCCATGTTAAAATTTAACAAGAGACTGGGCTCAGTGGCTCAGTCTGTAATCCCAGCACTTTGGGAGGCCGAGGCGAGTGGATTGCCAGAGTCCATAGGCTTGAGACCAGCCCAGGCAACTTGGCAAGACCTCGTCTCTTCAATAAATCAAAAATTAGCCAGGCATGGCAGTGCACGCCTGTGGTTCCAGCTACTCGTAAGGCTGAGGCAGAAGAATCACCAGAACCTAGCAGGTCAACACTGGGGTGGTGGTGAGTGTGCTACTGCACTCTCCAGCCTGGGCGACAGAGTGAGACTCCAACTCAAAAAAAAAAAAAAAGAAAAATTAACAGGAAATTACAAACCAGTAATTAAGTGGCAAAGATTATATGCTAAAGGAAATGATTATATATGGGGTGGAATCTAAAAATCGTTTCTTTGCTAAATAACTTTCATCTACCATTTCAAAGCTTCTTTGATTATTGATCAGAGAGTGTCTTGAGCTAATTAGGTTTTTACTCTCCGTATGGAGAATGGATTTAGCTTATGTCCTATGATTCATAAAAATAACTGTGTTCATAAATCAAAAAGTCAGAAGGGTATGGTAGCGCATGCCTGTAATTCCGGCTACTTGGAAGGCTGAGGTAGAAGGATCGCCGGAGCCCAGCAGGTCGAGGCTGCGGTGGCCGGGAGCAGCCACTGCACTCCAGTCTGGGCGACAGAGTGAGACTCCGACTCAATAAAATAAAATAACTGTGTTCACACTACTGTGTAAATCCTGAATTAAGACTAATCTAGATAAGCAAAAAACTTTTCGCTCATCTCTCCTATACGAGATTATAGAGTGTCCACAAGCACCATTTCTGGTAAAAATAGGTTTCTTTATTTTTAGTAACTCTGTTCTCAGTGCCTAGTTAGTGATTTCCAGTTTTGGCCTTCCTATTTTGTTAAGCAGTACGAAACCATGCTGAAAGAACTGCTCAGGCTTATCAGAGACCTTTATCCGGAAACCAGACTGAGTTTTATTTTATTCTCCATTATCATTTTAATATTTGCATGAAATGAGCACCACGTATATCAGATAAATGTGAGTTGATTAAAAAAAAAAAGAATGGTCACCTACAGCATTATCTTTTTCAGGGTGATCATGGCTATAAGCAATCCAAAGACACTGAAGAGAGGCTCAAAGTTATCCCGAAATTTTGTTTTCCTGATTCAAAGGACTGGGTGCCAACCTCAGAGCTCAAGAGGTAAATGGGCTACTTTATCTGATTTCTGTTTGTTAGAACCGCAAAAATAGAACCTGAGGATGTGAGAAATGGGGAGAGCCAGGAGTGAAGCAGGTCAAGGGTGCAGTGGGAGGAAAGAAAGAAGCAGAATTAGAATACTTCCTATGTTGGGCTTGAAAAAGAAAAACACAAATAATTTCAGTGTCAAGGGAAAACAAGTTGGAGAGTTTCTTCAGTTTGCCAACTCTGCAGAAAAAATAGCTCCACTTTATATGAAATCAGAAATGCCCCCAAGTGGACAGAAAAGAAGAAAAGACTTGGATTTTGGGACTCGACCTAGAAACAGATGAAACAGAGCAATGTCTTCATGTTGTTTCTCCTTCAAGTTCACAGAAGCAGCCATAGCCCAGATTGTTGTTCCCCTGTGGAGCTTGTACAGAGGGAGGCTCCGGTCTGGGAGGTATGGGTACGTTGAGAAGGAATGTATTAAAGAGTTTCTTCTAGGTATCTAGAGGAAATTACTATTTTTAATTAATCAACCTCATCATCTCTGAATTTTGCTTGTAAATAGATAACTGTTACTCAAAACTACTGTTACTGATGATGCTGTTTAGGCTGAAGAGCTTGATTAGTTGAATCTTGTCACATGCCAGTGACCTGCTGGGTGACAGCCCCAGCTGTGGCTTCAGTAGCTGTGAACTTCAGCCTCGCATTGCCTCCAGACTAAGCTGCTGTCTTATCGGCAGTTTGGCCTGATTGACACTCTCATCTCTCGCTATCAGCGTTGATGCTCTTGTGTTGTCAGTTGCACTGCTAATTAATTTCATAAGCAACTTCTTTACATTGGCCTGGCTGCTCTGTGGTTGGCTTTTCCTCCTCAAAAGTATGTATATTTACTCTAGAATACTTGGAAAATACAGACGAGCAAATAAAAAGCAGAAATTATAAATCACTGGCAGTCTGGTCACTCCAAGATAATCACTGTAAATATTTTGGCATATTCCCTTCCAACCTTTATTTGGGACCAAATACAGGCATATATATTTATTGTTCACATTTGGATTTATTTGATTATTAGTAAGTTTCTTTCTCGGGCATCTTTAGGTTTTCTTTTTGTAAATTATCTATGCATGGCTTTTGCCTGTGCTTCTAATGAGGAGTTGATATTTTTCCTATTGTTGTTTATATATTAAGGATGTAATCCAGGCCGGGCGTGGTGGCTCAAGCCTGTAATCCCAGCACTTTGGGAGGCCAAGGTGAGAGGATTGCCTGAGCTCAGGGGTTCGAGATCAGCCTGGGCAACTTGGTAAGACCTCATCTCTACAATAAATAAATAAATAAGCCGAGTGTGGTAGTGCACGCCTGTAGTTCAGTTACTTGGAAGGCTGAGATGGAAGGATCACCTGAGCCCAGCAGGTCGAGGCTACAGTGGCCATGAGCATGTCACTGCACTCCAGCCTCACTCCAGGCAACAGAGTGAGACTCTAACTCAAAAAAAAAAAAAGGATATAATCCTTTGCCTATCACTGTTCCAGATGGCCTTTCATAACTAAATAGAAGGATTTGGAATGGGAAAATGGCATATCAAAAGCCTTTATAAGTTACCTATATGTTTAACTAAGTTGGGCATTCAGCAAAAAGAAAACAGGCTTGATTAATAGCTACAGTGGATAAATAAGAAAATAAAAGGCGTTAACAGCATCAGTAGTTTATCCCATACCTACTCTCTTACTCCTGTACAAGGCAAGAAATTCTCAAGTCTGGACATTCATTCAGAGGAATGTGACTTGAGATAAGTCACATTAATAATGTTAATGAGCCGGGCTCGGTGGCTCAGCCTGTAATCCCACGCCTTGGGAGGCTGAGGTAAGTGGATTGCCTGAGCCCACGGGTTCGAGACCCGCCTGGGCAACTTAGCGAGACCTCATCTCTACAATAAATCAAAAATCAGCCGGGCGTGGTAGCGCACGCCTGTAATTCCGGCTACTCGGAAGGCTGAGGTGGAAGGATCGCCGGAGCCCAGTAGGTCGAGGCTGCGGTGGCCAGGAGCGGCCACTGCACTCCAGTCTGGGCAACAGAGTGAGACTCCAACTCAAAAAAAAAAAAAAAAGAAAATAATAATAATAATAATGTTAATGCTCCTCTTAGATCAGAAAATGACTGCTGTGGGACCCTAATTTCCAATTCGTTGTTCTGTGAGGAATGACATAAGTGGTTGTTTGGATCTCAAAATTGCTGTTGACTGTTTTTCAGTGAAACGTTCTCCTTTGTCTTGACTGGGGAAGATGGAAGCCGGTGGTTTGGTTACTGTAAGAAGCTCTTGGTAAGTACCAGACTTGTACTATGGATAAGGTTGGTCAAGGAACAAAAGTCAGACTATGGTCTTCAGAAACACTATCTCTAGATGAGTTTAAGGGCTACTCAAGGATCTGTGAATTAAGGAAGCTCTGTTAGTTTTAAAAAGCAAGAGCAAGGCTGTGCGTGGTGGCTCAGCCTATAATCCCAGCACTTTGGGAGGCCAAGGCCAGAGGATTGACTGAGCCCAGGGGTTTGAGACCAGCCTGGGCAACTTGGTGAGACCTCATCTCTACAGTAAAACACAAAAACTAGCCAGGGGTGGTGGGATGCATCTGTAGTTCCAGCTACTTGGAAGGCTGAGGTGGAAGACTCGCCTGAGCCCAGCTGGTTGAGGCTGTGGTGGCCATGAGTGTGCCACTGCACTCCAACCTGGGCAACAAGAGTGAGACTCCAACTCAAAATAACATAAAATAAAAAGCAAGAGCAAGCCAGCCATGGTAGCACATGCCTGTAGCTCCGACTACTTGGAAGGCTGAGGTGGAAGGCTCGCCTGAGCCCAGCAGGTTGAGGCTGCAGTGGCCCCAACTCAAAAAAAGAAAAAAGAAAAAAAAGCAAGAGCAAGGTGAAGGTTAGCCACAGCATGTTCCAGAATAGAAGGGGTGTTGATATATTTATTTATTTATAATTGACAAAGTGAGACTGCTGACACAGTGGCTAAATGTCAGTCCCAGATATGTTTGAGGAATGTAGTACACTGAGCTACTAAGGAGCTCTGAGTTACTCGCCAACCATGTTTCGGCTCTCCTTTTGCTTAGATGCCTTCGCTAAACCTAGAGTAAATCATGCTGCCATTTTTAGCACTTTTCCCATCTTTCAGTGTTCACTGAGGATGACAGCCTTGGTTCCTGCTTTGTACTAAAGAGTATTCAAGGAGCATTAATAGTCCAGATTAGTAAAAACTCATGCTGCTTGATTTTTTCTTTTGTTTTTCTTTTAGCCAGAAGGCAAAGGAAAGCGCCTCCCTGAGGTCTACTGCATGGTTAGTCGCTTAGGCTGCTTCAATCTTTTTTCAAAGGTGAGTGCTAAATGGGCTGTATGAAAAGCAGTGTTCTTTCTGAGCTGAGCTCTGTGTTAAGTGGGACAGATGTTAACACATTACCTTAGAAAGGTTTCCTGTTAGTAAATTAGGAACCACAGGTTTGAAGGCTTAAAATTAGGTCTCTAATCCAGCTGCTGTTGCTATAGCATCCTCATTTTGGCTTGTTAAAACTCCCAGCTTAAAGGAGAACACAGTCTGAGGCTCATCTTGTCCCACGTCTTTCCTAGACCCCGAGGTGCAGGACAGCATTATCAGCACCTTCTTTGCCCCTCCCTTGGTGAAATGAAAAGGGGCTCCTCTTTGAAAAATAAATTGATTTGTGTTAATAACTTTTCTTGGGGTATAAAGATAACTCCCAGTGATGCTCATTGAACTTTAATTGATTGCAGAAGCTTATCGGTCTTAAATTCTACTGGTGTTTTCAAGTTTCTGCACCAGGTTTGGTAGTTCCAGTAATAAATTCTTTTATGTTTTTTAACTGAGTCCATAGTCCGGGTGCAATGGCTCATGCCTGTAATTCCAGCACTCTGGGAGGTCAAGGTAGGAGGATGGCTTGAGTTCAGGAGTTCCAGACCAACCTGGGCGACATGGCAAGACCTCATCACTACAAAAAAAATTTAAAAATTAGCTGTGTGATGGCGCACGTCTGTAATTCCAGCTTCTCAGAAGGCTGAGGCAGCTGCATTGCCTGACCTTAGGTGGTCAAGACTGCAGTGAGCTATGACCATGCCGCTGTACTCCAGCCTGGGAGACAGAATAAGATCCCAACTCAAACCAAAACAAAAATGAGTCCATAATAAAGTAACATTTTATTGTGTGTAGATTCTGGATGAAGTAGAGAAGAGGAGAGAAATGTCTCCTGCCCTTGTTTACCCATTCATGCGAAGTGTCATGGAAGCTCCTTTCCCAGCTCCTGGACGCACCATCACCGTTAAGAGCTACCTCCCTGGAGCTGGAGATGAGGTAAGTTGACTCATTTTGAAAAGGCATTATACTAATATACAGAGTTTCTAGAAGCCCATGGGTATAGTTTTCCCTTTTCCATTAACTGTGCAGAATAACCGGGTATGGTGGCTCACACCTATACTCCCAGCACTCCGGGAGGCTGAGGTGAGATGGTTGCCTGAGCTCAGGGGTTCAAGACCTAAGCAACATGGCAAGACCTCATCTCTACAATAAATAAATAAATTAGCTGGGCATGGTGGTGCGTGCCTGTGGTTCCAGCTACTTGGAAGGTTGAAGCAGAAGGATCACCTGAGCCCAGCAGGTTGAGGCTGCGGTGGCCGTGAGTGTGCTACTGCACTCCAGCCTGGGCGACAGAGTGAGACTCCAACTCAGTAATAATAATAATAATGATGATGACAACTTTGATAAATGAAGATTGTACATACTACCATCAGATGAGATAAAAGGATTTTCCAGCATCAGCTCACCTGATTCATATTCTTGCGTTTCAGTCCATTGAGCTTTGCCGACCACTGGATTCCCGACTGGAACATGTTGATTTTGAGTGTCTCTTTAAGTGCCTAAGTGTGTGTCATCTCGTCCGGGTCTGTGCCTCTCTTCTTTTGGAGCGGAGGGTAATCTTTGTTGCCAACAGCCTCAGGTAAGAAATAAGTGTGATGTGTCACTTCGCGCTGGTGTTTTACTTGTTCTTACTGTTTTGAAGTTTACTTTTTTGTCTCCTTGGTTGTTATTGATCTATTTAGGATCTTAATTTCTTCACATATTTTAAAAAACATAGTATCAGTCTCTCATTACCTAATGGTTTAGTGACACAGACAATTTCAAATGGTAAATAATTAAAAATCCCTTTGTATCGGTCTACACCAATAACTTTTTGGGGTTGTAATAAATTTCCCTTTTAAATGCATTTTGCTTAAACTGTTGTCAAGAATTGGTAATGTTTTTCTAAGTCCACACTAATTTTTATCATGATAAATTGTGGGGAGGAGCTTGACTGAGATTGGACATTTTCAATAAAGTAAATTTAAGTTTTAAGTAAGCTGTTAAAAATTAGTGAGTATTCACTGAGTTTTTAATCTATGATCACTAACCAACATCAGCTAGTGACTCTTCGGCATAACCTCTGAAACGCCCTCCACATGCTGCTGCATACGTGTCATCATTGCCTTTCTTCTCTGGCTAGCACCCTGTCCAAGTGTGGCCACGCCGTGGTAGCCACCCTGTATCCATTCACCTGGCAGCATACCTACATACCAGTCCTGCCAGCATCTATGATCGACATTGTGTGCTCACCTACTCCGTTCCTTATCGGAATCCTGTCTTGCTCCTTACCACAGCTCCAGGACCTACCGATTGAAGAGGTGAGAGGGAAGAAATGGTACCTATGAAAAATATTTGAGCACTGACAAATGAAACTAAGTGTTCTTTAAGTCAATGGAATTAGACTAGGCGCAGTGGCCCACTCCTATAATCCCAGCACTTTGGGAGGCCAAGGTGATAGGATTGCTTGAGCCCAGGAGTTCGAGACCAACATGGGCAACACAGGGAGACGTCATCTCTTCAAAAGGTCAAAAAATTAGCTGGGCATGGTGGCGTGTGCCTATAGTCCCAGCTATCTGGGAGGCTGAGGTGGAAGGATCACCTAAGCCCAGGAGGTCGAGGCTGCAGTGAACTGTGATTGCCCCACTGCATGCCATCCTGTGCAACAGCAAGACTGACTCAAAAAAGAAAAGGAAAGGGAGTAGAATTGTTATTAATTAATATAATAATGATTAATATATTATGCCATCTTGTTTTTTGGTATCTTTCTATTAAAGTAGGAAAAGTTCTGATACATATGAATCCAAAGTTTTGTCATATTTACAATAGTAAACCATGGGCTCATTCTTGTGTTATTCTGAAGGGTGGGTTTTTTATTTTTAAAGTCAAACACAAAAACTACTCTGAGTTAACTTTAAAAATTGTTACAAATATAACACACATATAGATAAAGGCCCAAAACAAAATATATGGTTCAATGAATGATCACGTGAACACTTATGTAACCAGAATTGGAAATGAATGGAGACATTACTGCAATGGAATCAGTGCCAGCACCCTAGAAATCCCTGTTATGCCTCCTTCCAATCCCTGTTCCCTTTTCCATCCCCCACAAAAGGTAATCATTATCTTGACTTTTATGGTATTTATTTACTTGGGGTTTTTTAATAGTTTTATCCCTGGCCGGGTGTGGTGGCTCATGCCTATAATCCCAGCATTTGGGAGGCTGAGGTGAGAAGATTGCCTGAGCCCATGGGTTCGAGACCAGTCTGGCAAGACCTCATCTCTACAATAAATCAAAAAATTAGCTGAGCGCGGTGATGCATGCCTGTAGTTCCAGCCACTTGAAAGGCTGAGGTGGAAGGATTGCCTGAGCCCAGCAGGTCGAGGCTGCGGTGGCCGTGAGCGTACCACTGCACTCCAGCCTGGGCAACAGAGTGAGACTCCAACTCAAAAAAAACAAAAAAATAAGCCAGGCTCAGTGGCTCAGCCTGTAATCTGTGCTTTGGGAGGCTGAGGTGAGTGGATTGCCTGAGCCCACGGGTTCGACACCCACCTGGGCAACTTAGCGAGACCTCATCTCTACAATCAATCAAAAAATTAGCCAGGCGCGGTAGCGCGCGCCTGTAGTTCCAGCTACTTGTAAGGCTGAGGCGGAAGAATCGCTGGAGCCCAGCAGGTCGAGGCTGCGGTGGCCGGGAGTGGCCACTGCACTCCAGTCTGGGCGACAGAGTGAGACTCCAACTCAAAAAAAATTAAATAATAATTTTACCCCCAAGGCACACATCCCTAAATAATGTAATTCAGCTTTACCTGGTTTTAAGCTTCATATAAGTGGACTCATATGGTATAAATATATTTTTTGTCTGGCTTCTTTTGCTCAACATTACGTCTGTAAGACTCATGATGAGTTTACCAGTAGTCTGATCATTCTAAATGTGTATAGGATTCCACTGTATGTACCACAATTTTCTTATTCATTCTACAGTTGATGAGCATTTGAGGTGTTTCCAGCTTGGGATTATTATGACTAACTTTGCTGTAAATATTCTTATACATGTCCCTTGGTACATGCATGCATACAGTTCTGTGGGTATTTACTTGGAAGTTGAATTGCCAGGTCATAGGGCAAGCATATCTCCAACTTTAGTAAATAAATCGGACTGTTTTCCAAAGTTATTGTGCCAATTTAAACTCCTTCCAACAGTGTGTGAGAGTCCCTGTTGCTCCACATCCTCACCAACACTTACTAGCATCAGTTTGTGTAAGGTAGCCTGTGTGGTGAGTGTGTAGTGACGTTCTCATCGTGGATTAATTTACGTTCCCTGATTACTGTTGAGGACGAGCACTCTACTATATGTTTGTTGGCCATTTAAATAATATCTTTTGTAAAGTTCATTTTCTGTCCACTAGATTGCTTACCCTCTTATTGATTCATAACATGTCTTTTTATACTTTGGATGTCAGCCCCTTTATCTGTGGTTTGCCTTTTCTCTTTTGAATGGAAGTCTCACTCTGTCGCCCAGGCTGGAGTGCAGTGGCACTATCACAGGGCTCTCTGCAGCCTCAGCCTCCTGGGCTCAGGCAGTCCTTCTGCCCAGCCTCATGAGTAGCTGGGACTACAGACGTGTACCACCACACCTGGCTTACTTATTTTTTAAATTTTTGGTAGAGATGAGGTCCCGCTATGTTGCCTAAGCTGGTCTCTAATTCCTAGCCTCAAGTGATCCGCCCACATGGGCCTCCCAAAGTGGTGGGATTACAGACCTGAGCCACTGCACCCAGCCTCCTTGCCCTTTTATTATTCAAAATGATGTCTTTTGATGCACAATAGTTCTTAATTTTAATGTGTTTTAAATTATCAGTCCTTTCCTTTATGGCTAGTGTTGTCTGTGAGCTGATGAAGTTTTTCTTTAGAGTAACTTTATGAAGATATCCTCCTGCATTATCCTTGAACCTTTATTATTTTGCCTTTAACTCTTGATTCTGACTCCACCTGGGACTTTGTATTTGTGTGTATCATGTGAGATATATAATGGGATTGCTTCACTTGTTTTTTTTTTCCTTTTTTTCCTTTGAGTAGGAGTCTCACTCTGTTGCCAGGCCGAAGTGCAGTAGCATGTTCACAACCACCATGGCCTCAACCTGTTGGGCTCAGGGATCTTTCCATCTCAGCCTTCCAAGTAGCTGGAACTACAGGCGTGTGCCACAATGCCCGGCTAGTTTATAGATTTATTGTAAAGATATCTTGCGAAGTTGTCCAGGCTAGTCTCAAGCCCCTGGGCTTAGGCAGTCTTCTCACCTCCAACTCCCAAAGTGCTGGGATTACAGCCATGAGCTACTGCGCCTGGCTGTTACACTTGTTTTCATATGGATAGTCATCTGAAAAGACTGTTCTTCCCCATTCCTCTGCTGCATTGTCCAGCTTTTTATTATGGGAAATTTCAAACTCATGTAAAAGTAAACAGAAGAGTACAGCTAATCCTCTTGTGCACCCTACTTCGGAACTCACCACGTCATGGCCAGTCTCCACGCTTAACCATTCCTGCTTCCCATAATATTGAAGTATATCCTGACAATTTCATCTCTAAGGAGTACAATATGAATCTCTATAGCATAGGGTATTTTAAAACAATTCCTTAACATCGTCAAAATTCAGCATTCGAATCTCTAATTGTCTCATAAATTTTTTTTTTTCTTAGGGCCGCACTCTGTTGCCCAGGCTGCGGTGCAGTGGCATGATCATGGCTCACCACAGCCTCAACCTCCTGGGCTCAAGCGATCATGCTGCCTTAGCTTCCCATGATGGCAATTTTTTTTTTTTTTTTTTTAGAAAGCAGGTTTTATTGAGAGAACAGAAAAGTTCCCATAGTGGTTTATTTTTAGAGATGGGGGTCTCACTATGTTGCCAGGCTGGTCTTGAACTCCTGGGCTCACATGATCCTCCTGTCTCGGCCTCCCAAAGTGCTAGGATTATAGGTGTGAGCTACCGTGCCCAGCCCATAAATTTTTAATAATTTGTTTGAATCAGGTTCCAAATAAAGTCCACATGTTGTATGTAGTTGATATATGCTTTAAGTCTCTTTTATTCTGTAGGTGTGCATCATTTTTTTAACTTGCAATTTATTCGTTGTTGTGTTGATGGTTAACTTTTAAATAGTCTGCAACCCTGAGTAAATTTCATTTAAAACTATTCCCAGTGCTGGGCACGGTAGCTTACACCATAATCCCAGCACTTTGGGAGGCAGAGGTGAGAGGATTGCCTGAGCCCATGGGTTCAAGACTAGCCTGGGCAACATGGCAAGATCTTATCTCTACAATAAATTTTTTTTTAAAATAGCCAGGCGTGGTGGTGCATGCTTGTAATGCCAACTACTTGGAAGGCTAAAACAGAAGGATCACCTGAACCCAGCACGTCAAGGCTGAGGTGGCCTTGAACATGCCACTGCACTCCAGCCTGGGCAACAGAGTGAGACTTCAACTCATAAAACAAACAAAAAAACTATTCCCATCACCTGAAAGAATAAAAAAACAGGCTTCCTGATCTGGCAATGTCTAAAGTATTTTGTCTGTAAATGTCTCTGGTTGAACTTGCCTGGCTCCTTTATTTCGTAGGTGCTGATAGTTGATCTCTGTGCAGACAAGTTCTTACAGGAGGTGAGTGCCAAAGGAGGTGATTACATAACACTTTAGGTCTATCTGTAAAGGACAATCTGTAGATAATTGGACAGACATTATGTGAAAGTACTTAGAGAAGGTGACTCAGGCAAGACTTTCGGTTCCTACCTACACATGCTTGAATTGATACTGTGGCCTATCATAAAGATTGATCTGAAAAATTTGGCTTGGGTTTATAGATCTATCCCAAAGAAGGAAGAAACAGAATAAATGTCATTCTTTTTTCTTTTTTTTTTTTGAAAGCAAGATTTGGGAGGACAGAAAAGCTCCCACAGTAGGAGGGGACCCGGGGGGTTTGCCCATAAATGTCCTTCTTAAAAGAGGTAATCCTTCCTTCATGTCCTGATGAGTTGGCATATAAGTCTCTAACTTATTTAAATTTAGAAAGCATTTATTAGTTGTCCATTGTTTGTAGATACTCTGTTAGGCAACCAGAATCTAAAGATGAGCGAGACACACTTTGAGCCCCCAGGCCTGGCCTTATAGTCTAATAGGAAAGCAGACATATACATAAATATTTGAAACGGTATAAATAGCAATTTTCATGAGGTGCAGTAGGGGCAAAAAAGAAGTGCTCATTTATTCTGGATATTGAAAGGGAAAGGAATAACTAGTAAAGCCTTCCTAGAGCAGCCCTCTGGATGTAACCTGAATATAGGTCTGTAAGCACTGAAGCCCAGGGTGAAAAACACAGGGTGAAAAGTTTCCCAGGACTTTGTCTTTTTTCAAAAGTAATTGGCACATCACATTTATTTGGGGATAACCTTTGTGTTATAGCAGAAGTCTCACAGGTGAGAGGTATTTGGTAGAAAAGTGCAGAAATATTTTATAAAGTCTGTGTTTATTTTTTTAAATATAGTTAAAATACCTACACCATAAACATCATAGATTCTACTTTACATGGGAAGGAAACTTCAGAGTGACTCTTTACCCAAAATATATTCAAAGCCACCTGTAGAATTAGTGGGAATTAACTAGTGCGTATTTGAGACTTTCTCAAAGTTCATGTAAAAAAATCTCTGTTTTTTTCCTCTTAAGGTATCTGATGAGGATGAAATTCTACCACCTAAACTTCAAGCTGCCCTGATGCAGATTTTGGAAGAACGAAATGAAATCTTAGCTCAAGAGCAGAATTTTTCACAAGGTATGAGACAGGTAATCCAGGGATTTAAGTAAGGTTAAGGCAGTAAATATTTACTGAATGCCCAGCACTCTGTCAAAGAGTGTACCAAAATAGCATTAGATTTCCTTGAAAATCCTACAATCAGTTTCCTTGCCCATCCTCAATATGCCAGGCCATTTTCTGTTTCAGGATCTTTGCACTTGCTCAGTTACATTTAGAGAATGCTGTTGCCCCAGATGTCCACGTGACTCCCCCCTTTCTTCTTGTAGGTCCATGTTCAAATGTTGCTTTCCCACTGAGGTCTTTCCTGACTGTCCAATTTAAAATTGTACCCATTCCCCAGCACTCCTATCCCTCTTCTCCTTGCCTTATTTTTCTCAGTGGCCATTGTCACCATCTGGTATGCTATGGTGTAAATTCCATGAGAGCAGTGGCTTTGTGTTGTTCTCTGTCTCCGATACTTTAAACAGTACTCAATAGCAAGTACTTAATAAGTATTTGTTGAATAAATGGGCAAATAATATTTATGGAGTGCTTACTCTGTATCAAGCATTATTCTCAGCACTTAGCATACTTTTTATTTCATCCTTGTAATATACTTATAAAGCAAGTATTATTTAAACTCCATTTTACAGATGAGAAAATGAAGGCTATTTACTGTTGTGGACCGTTGAGGGAAGGAGGAGTAATAAAAACTTTCGTTTTTGGATATTAAGTTTGAGATTAGATGCCCAATACCTAGCATAAATCCAACTGAACATGTTAAGTATGTTTTTGGTTTGTTTTTTTTTTTAATCGGAGTCTCACTGTCACCTAGGCTGGAGTGCAGTGGCATGCTCACAGCTACCACAGCCTCGACCTGCTGAGCTCAGGTGATCCTTCCACCTCAGCCTTACAAGTAGCTAGAATTACAGACACATGCCACCATGCCCAGCTAATTCTTTTTTTTTAATTTACTGTAGAGATGAGCTCTCGCCCAGTTGCCCAGGCTGGTCTTGAACTCCTGGGCTCAGGCAATCGAGAGGATTGCCTCTCGCCTCAGCCTCCGAAAGCACAAGAATTACAGGCTTGAGCCACTGTGCCCAGCAAGTAGGTTTTTATGTACATGAATTTGGGATTCTGAGGAAACGTTTGGGCTCAAGATATACATTTAGAAGTTGCTGTTTTAAAGCTATGGAACCAGATAAGGTGATCCTATAGAGTGAGTGTAGTTAGAAAATAACAAAGGTTTAAGGCACAGGTGTCCAACCTTTTATCTTCGAGTAAAGAGGAATTGTTTGGGGATGCACATAAATGATGTAATATAGTGTCTATCCATAAGATTCCTCAAGTTGCTCATCAGAAATGTTTGTTTCAACATGATGTTACAAGATTTTGTGGGGCTACATTACTAGCTGTTCTGGGCTGCATGCTGCCTGTGGGCTGCAGGTCAGACATGCCTGGTTTTAGGGATTGAGTCCTGGGTTGGTTGTGAATGGTGTGGTTGGATTTCCAACATTTGGAGGCTGGAAGAAAAGAAGACTCCCGCAAAGGAGACTAAGAACAGTAGAGTAGGAGAAAAATCAGGAAAGTACGTATCTAAAAAACAAGAAGTGCCAGGTGCGGTGGCTCACGCCTTAAATACCAGCACTTTGGGAGACAAAGGTGGGAGGATTGCCTGAGCCCAGGGGTTTGAGACCAGCCTGGACAACTTGGCAAGACCTTGTCTCTGTAATAAATCAAAAAATTAGCCAGGCGTGGTGGCACAAATTTGTAGTTCCTGCTACTTGGAAGGCTGACCCAGAAGGATTGCCTGAGCCCAGCAGGTCAAGGCTGTGGTAGCCATTGAAGTGTGCCACTGTACTCGAGCCTGGGTGACAGAGTGAGACCTCGACTCAAAAATAATAATAATAATAAAGAGGCCGGGCACAGTGGCTCACACCTATAATCCCAGCACTTTGGGAGGCCGAGGTGAGAGGACTGCCTGAGTCCATGGGTTCAAGACCCACCTGGGCAACTTGGCGAGACCTCATCTCTATAATAAATCAGAAATTAGCCAGGCGTGGTGGCGTATGCCTGTATTCCCAGCTTCTTGGAAGGCTAAAGTGGAAGAATCGCCTGAGTCCAGCAGGTCGAGCATGCCACTACACTCCAGCCTGGGAACAGAGTGGGACTCCAACTCAAAAAAAAAAAAAAAAAATGAATGACTCTTTCAAGCACATATTAAATAAAACAACAAGTTGCAGAAGAATATCATGTTTTCTTTCTTTTTTTTTCATCTTGTAGTGGATATGACACTCAACTCTCTGGTGTCTGAAGCATTTGTCAGGTTTTTTGTGGAGCTGGTGGGACATTATTCCTTGAACATGACTGTCACCGAGCGTGGGGAGCGTGTATTCCAAAGAGAGCCATTCCGTAAGTCCCACACCTCCCGAAGTGTACGTCACTTCCTGGAACTCTTCATGGAGACGCAGATGTTTGCAGGATTCATCCAGGACCGCGAACTTCGAAAAAGTGGGGTTAAAGGTTGGTTTCCATCATAATGTTCTCCCTCTCTAGTTAGAGAGTACTTACAGGGTCTGACTATTTTACAAACCAAGAAATAGTGTGGCCGGGCTTGGTGGCTCAGCCTGTAATCCCGCGCCTTTGGGAGGCTGAGGTGAGTGGATCGCCAGAGCCTGTGGGTTCAAGACCCACCTAGGCAACTTGGCGAGACCTCATCTCTACAATAAATCAAAAATTAGCCGGGCGTGGTAGCACACGCCTGTAGTTCCAGCTACTCGGAAGGCTGAGGTGGAAGGATGGCCGGAGCCCAGCAGGTCGAGGCTGCGGTGGCCGGGAGTCTGGGCGACAGAGTGAGACTCCAACTCAAAAAAAAAAAAAAAAAATAGTGTAAAGCCACCAGGGCCCAACATCTGAGTTCTTTATTATGAAAAGTATTTTGTTATATTGTTTTAGCCATGGAAATAATACATTGGTAATGAGCACAGAATTTTATTTGGTTGATTTCCAGTCTTGAATGTTGGACAGTTTCACCAATGTGAGTTTTTCTTAGGTTTGTTTGAGGTCCGGGCCCTCCAGTATTTGGAAACAATTCCTGAGTCTGAGCCCAGTGGGGTGAATAGAATTTTGCGGAGTCTTGGTGAGTTGCTGTTTTCCCATTAGATCATTGTGGCTGAAAAGGCTTTGCAGTAAGTAGACCTCATACCGGGGCTTTATGATCAGATCAGCAATGTAACCTCAAGGAGGCTGACCAGAAACCACTGCCCCAGTTCCAACGGGTTTTGGAGAGAAAGTCTTTTGCTCAAAAGTTAGGATTCCCCATCAGAGTAGCTTATGGGGCCACTTCCCTCAGATGAGGCTCACTGAACTCTCCTTCATGATATAAGTTTGCATGTCATGATTACTAATCTTTTCTAGGTCATGTTCCTTGGAGAGTCTTACAAAAACTGTAGTCCTTTTCCCCAGAAAAATGTACTCAACAGCATACAAATAAATTCCGCATATAGTTTTAGAGTGTTTATGGGACCCACTGAAGCCTCTCCTTGAGACTCCAAATTAAAAACACCTGGTTGAGAGGGACTTCTGAGGCAGAAGAGGATTTCCTGCAAGTCTCTAATTTTGCACTTCATACAGAGACACAGTTGTTTATGAATTTTCAATTATAGTTAATTATCCAGTATGATATGAGAGAACAGTAGGATGGCTAGCCTAAAACAATGCAGAACCTATATTCTATGGTATTTATATTGGTCTTTGAAATACTTGCCCCCTAATTAGGCCCTGTCCTTCACTAGCTGAGAGACCAAAGACAAATTATGCCCTAGGCTGTTATTTCATCTTTATACTGTGGGGTTAGATTAGATCAGTGGTTCTCAGCCCTGACTACATATTATAATCTCTGGGGTCTGTAAAAAAATTTTCTCTTGGGTTCTAGGAAATCTCTGGGGAGCAAGCCAGGTGATTTTAACCTATAGTCAGAGTTGAAAAACCACTGGATTACATGATGTCTGAGTTCTTTTCTACCTCTACAATTAGACACTTTTGGGGGGTAGTCAAACATATCAACTGATAGCTTGAGATGTCAGCTTAACTCTTAGGCTGCTCTGAATTACTAGGCTATTTAACCTCTTGCCTCAAATAATGTATGATAAGTAAAAATAAATTGAGAGTTCATTCTGCCTTTTTCTCCCTTTAGGAAGTAAAATGAAATTTCTGCAGAAGAAATGAAATCTTTGACTGTCTCCATCCTAAATAGAACAGAAAGTGCCAAAGAAAATCTTTTTTCAAGGGTCAGAAGGCCTTGAAGTATTCTACAAAACTCTTGAAATTGTGCAAGGTTAAAGAGCAAGTGAGGCTCTCGGAGCAGGACTCTCCTACCGCGGCTGTAGTCATCCCTGGGCAATGGTTGGGAGGAGTCTGGATCCAGTATTCTTTTTACTTTTACTTTGCTGCCAATTTTTTTTTCGTGGCCTTTTCTATTTGATTGTTGGACTCATTCTCTGTATTTGTGCTTAGTCTATGGAGGTAGTTGTCTTTTACAAGGGAAAGGCTTTTTGGTGTTACATTTTAAAAACAACTCAAAGACAAATATAGTGAGGGAAATGCTGAGTTTAAGGTACTAGAGAGGCATGATAGAGTGCAGAACTGTTCTCATCACTGGCAGCTTTAAATCTGGACTAAGGAACATACTCATCATCTATCCTTTTTTTTTCCCCACTTATGTGGGAACCCTACTTGTCCGCACTGTTACTGAGGACTTAGTAAAAGTAGACATCTTACAGATCCTCCTCCACACGGTGACAACCTGAGTAACTTCTCCCTCACATGTCAACATTCAACTCTGCAGAATTACAGCGAATACAAAAATGTCCTTTCCAGGAACTACCTTGACTTTCTAGCATCCACCATGTGCCACACTCTGTGGTGTGTGAAAGTATGTACTTCATCTTATCTAACCCTTAAGTCAACTTTATGAGAAAGATATTTGGATCTCCATTTTACTAACAGAAACTGAAGTTCAGAGAGGTGAAATAACTTGCTAAAGTTGTACAAGAGACAGAACTGAAGCCAGGACTTTTTTGAACTCAGAGAAAGTTGGTTAATCCTATAGTTTTGATCTCCACAGGATTATTGCTAGTTTAAAATGTTTCTATTAAGTGTACCAGAGCCATTTCTCAGCTCTGAGAATAAGTGGCTTTACACTATAGGTGCCAGGATGACACTCTTTTTATTCCCCTAGAATTGTTGGACTTTTTGCTCTAGTTAGACTCAGAATACAAGCATTTCCTCAGCATGTGCCACTTAATCACCAGACCCTTAATACCTAACATATTAGTGATTGGGAAGGAATTTGTCAGTAATGGTGCCATTTTCACCGATAAATGTTACAGCAAATGTCAGTTTCTTTTCTCCAACTTATGCTGATAGTTTTAACTGACACAAAATGTGTATTCAAACTTACAAAACCTTGTAAGTTGTATTGTGATACAATGTATTGACTTGTACAGTATTGTCATTACAACCCATTCAGGATGCATGAATCTGAAGCAGACACCATTTAAGACTGGTGCTGTGTAATATACTTCCTACAGATGTGGATCCAGGGACTAGAACTGAGCCTGTGTCCTTTTTTTTCCCCTCTGTAATATTGATTAAACAATTTACCCTAGTGGGGCTCATGGGAGATATCTCCCCATTTGGTCTCTTCTTATCCTCCAACCCTGAGAGAACAATTAATCATTGGATGTTTATAAAATGAGGTAGGAAGGTTTACTGTGGTGGATCCTGGCTATCCCCCTCTCAGGAGATCTTTGCTTCAGGGATGGGAGTCTTTATCCCTGCAACCTGAAGCTGCTTCCTTTCCTTAGGTTTGTTGTATTTTGTTTCCGTGAAGTATTATTGATTCTGGATGTGTTCGTTAAAGAATTGCTCAAGATTTGTATAAAACGTTGTTTACAGATCTTTTAATGAATAAACACATAAAATTCCCACAAATCTTTTGGAGAATTCTTAAGACGCAGACATCTCAGGCTAGGCACCGTGGCTCATGCCTGTAATTGTAGGGTGCAGAGAACAGTCAGAAGGGTGTCCCCAAGATGGCGCTGCCACCCTAGACAACAAAGGCCCTAGGTGCCGGCTTCTTCACGCGTGGTTCCCCTAGCGCACGTCCAATCATTTTCCATAATGTAGCTAGCTTTGTTATACGTCCAGTGGGCCTACAACACAGCGTCTGCCCACCCTGCTCCCAGGCCGCTCCTCCAATAAAACCTAGCGCTGCCCCTTCCGGCCGCTGTCAGGCTAATAAATACAGCCCTCTCCCTACATAGCTCTCTCTCTCGTGCGCTCTCTCTCACTCTCTCCCCCTGTCTCTCTCTCTCTCTCTCTTTCCCCAACCCCGAGGCCACAGACCCTTTCCCCTTTTTCCCCTGTGGCCCACGCTTTAATAAATCTCTTGGTCCTGGCTGGGTGTGGAGTCATTACTGGTGCCGAACTTCTTTCATTGGTGCCGTGACTCGGATCGGGTGCTCCCTCACCTCTGTGCGGGTGTATTCCCGTAGGCGAGAGCCCTGACCCGGCGCCTGTGGCCACTCCAGCCCTCCTCGACCTTCCCCACTGTTTTGAATGCATGAGCTGCATCCACCAGCGATCGTTGGATAGGTGAGTTTCCCAGACACGGAAACTTAAAACTTGCCCGGGACCACCGAGAGAAACTGACCGTTGATCGTCCGGCAGTCCCTCCGGCCCCCGGGCGAGGGGGAACACACCCTGCCTCGGCCTTCACGGCCACAACGGACCCTAAAAGCTTTCTCTTCTCCTTTATCTCTCTCAAACCCTGAAAACTCCCACGGCTGCCAGGCTGCAGCTAAAAGCTTTCTCTTCTTCTTTATCTCTCTCAAACCTTAAAAATTCCCATGGCTGTCGGGCTGCAGCGGGCCCCAGGGGTCCCACGTCTGCTAACCCACAGCGGTTTCTCTCTCTCTCCCCCCATCTCTCTCTCTCGCTCTCTCCCTCCCCCCAACCCCGCAGCCACAGACCTGTTCCCTTTTTCCCCTGTGGCCGCCGCTTTAATAAATCTCTTGGCCTTTAACGGGTGTGGAGTTGTCACTGGCGCCTAAGTCCTTTCATTGGTGCTTCCGGAGGGCTCCCACATCTGTCAGGTGATAACAGACTTCGGAGGTCCCCACGTATATTGCCCCACAGGAAACCCTGTTTGACCGGCAGGAATTGCAAATACACTTCCTACCTGCCGCTCGGTCAAGTGCTCTCTGTTCCGAAAATTCCTAGCGCTAGGTGCCTTGACCCCTTGGTTCTCCAGGAGAACCCTGGTTGTGCCAAACCCCTGTGACGACAGGCTTTGCCACAGCCACACTTGTTGGGCAGTCGACTCTTCGGGGGATGCCCCACTTAGTCCACCTGTCCTACCATGGGAGGCTTGTCATCCCTGCCAGCTGATTCCCCCCTTAAATGCCTCTTAAATAATCTCACTACACTTTCTCTCTCCCCCAGTATCAAACCTAAACGCTTAATTCGCCTCTGCACACAGGACTGGCCTACATATCCCTTAGACAACCAAAATCAGTGGCCCCCTCAGGGATCCCTAAATCCCAATATTATATGGGACTTATACAATTTCTGTGAGCATTCAAAACAATGGGTAGAGATTCCCCACGTTCGGTCCTTTTCTCTCCTCTATAAACACTCCCACTACAGCTTCTCTCCCTCCCACTGTCCCACATGCGTCTGTGCTTCCTCCTCCAAACCCCCCTTCCCCCACTGCAAACACTGTAAGTCCCCTCCCTCCTCTCCCGTTTCGGATTTCAATCCTGCGGAGGAGCCCCCTCCTTACAGACAGCTCAAGGCTCCCTCCGCCCCCACCTTCCTCTTCAGCTCCACCCACTTCCCCAGCAATTCAACCTCTGTGCCCTCCCCTTTCAATCACTCCCCATTATAGCCCTCCGGTAACCCAATCCAAGGCCGCACTGGTCATCCTCGCTCCCCTCCGCAAAGTAGCGGGCGCAGAGGGTATTGTTCAGGTGCAGGTCCCCTTCTCTATCTCAGACCTCTCACAAATAAAAAATAACGCCTTAGATCATACACAACCAATCCTGCCACCTCCCTCCTTTGTTTCTAACTTCAACCCAGCAGATAAACCTCCTATAATCTGCTTTTGCTATTCCACTCTCCATCAGTTTCTCCTCCTTTTCACCCTCCACCTTTATC